CACACACACACACTCACGCACACACACGCACACACGCGCACACACACACGCACGCACTCACAGACACACACGCACACATTCACACACACACACACACACACACACACACACACACACACACACACACACACACACACTCACGCACACACACGCACACACGCGCACACACACGCACGGGCACGAGCAGCCGGCCTCTCGCGCGCTTTGGTTACGTTACATTGGCGTGGCTACAAACTGCTATATGAGGAATTTATTATTATTATGATTATGATTATTATTGTTGTTTCAGTCCAGAATTAAAGCTGAGATCCGTAAATGTGTCTTTGTTTTAACATAAATAATACAGTTTGTTTAAAGTAGCATCTACGCTCTTTTATACTTGTAAGAAAGAGCCCTGTGAGTCACTATTTGACGCTTTGGTCTGAGAGCTGATTGGCTGAGAGAGGGTGGTACTCTTTTACTCTCTGCTTCGTCTGAAAATGTGAATCTAAAGCTGTGAAAGAAGCCAGAAATAAATGTGTGAAAATGACTGTTTTTGATCCAGGAAATAGTGACGTAGATTTTTACTACGGTTCAATTTGTTTGTGGTTTTAAAGTCAGGTACCTCAGCTTTAAAGGCAGGGAGTGGCTGCATTTAAACACTGTCCTTCAGAGCTTTCATATCGGGCAGAAAGATTTAACTCGTGCAGCAACCCTCCTCCTCCCCATCCCGGCCTCGGCAGCCAGACCAGCTCTTTAACTCTACTCTGAGCTTAGGGTTTCTCTCTCTGTCTTCATTTCTTCTTCTGCATCCGCCACAGAGCTGTGCCGGGGTCTAAGCGTCAAACCATGACCACAAGAAACGTACGGCAATGAATGTCCGTCTAATGTACGTCTGCAGAGCCTTAGGTAGTAACGGATCACCATGGCAACCAATACAGTCGACTCCAGTTCACTTTTGGCTGAGTCTCCCTGCAGATTGAAAAACAGGAAATCAATTTTCTTTTCAGAAAGAGAGATGAGAGAGAGACCAGAGAGAGACCAAAGAGAGAGCAGAGAGAAAGAGAGAGAGAGACCAGAGACAGACCAGTGAGAGATCAGAGAGAGACCAGCGAGAGACCAGAGAGAAAGAGAGAGAGAGAGACCCGAGAGAGATCAGAGACACCAGTGAGAGAGCAGAGAGAAAGAGAGAGAGAGACCCGAGAGAGATCAGAGACACCAGTGAGAGAGCAGAGAGAAAGAGAGAGCAGAGAGAGATCAGAGAGAGACCAGAGAGAGACCAGAGAGAGACCAGAGAGCGACCAGAGAGAGACCAGAGAGAGATCAGAAAGAGACCAGCGAGAGAGTAGAGAGAAAGAGAGAGAGACCAGAAAGAGACCTGAGATCATGAGCTGGTTGGTGAAGATGAGGGTCGTTCATCCCCGCTTGCGGCCATATTTAAAGTTCATTGTTGTTTGGAGTTTTGAACAATAATGGAAAAAATGAACTGTTCATAATAAGCATGACAAAGTGTGATTCTATAGAAAATATTGAAAACATGAACTTTGTCCACTGAGGAGGAGGCGGGTTGCTGCACGAGCAGAAGCTTGATGTGAGGGCGAAACTAGAGCTCCCACAGCTTCATCACTGAGCTCATGGTCGGTCTTCATCACTTTGACTTTTTGTTTTTCTACATTTAGTTTATTATGAAATGTGTTAGTTACTTTCACCTGGATTCATTTTGACTGCTCCATTCATGTGAACATCCCCACTGCTGGTTACCGTAGCAACACTGTACCGCAGCAGTTAGCATTTAGCATTTATTTCAACAAACTGCTCTATTTGTTTCTTTTTTTTAATATATAACGTTTGCTCTATTTTAGTTTCAATTTTCTTACTTTTAATAAAACTGGTGGAAAACTTTTTTGTTTTTTCTGGGAATGTTCCAGAAGTCCATGAGTTCTGTAGATTCAGAATCCTGTGAGTCCTGGAGGCTGAGGACAGGTGAGAAGAGCTCTGAGGTCTGTGAGGTCTCTGAGGTCTGTCAGGTCTGTGAGGTCTCTGAGGTCTCTGAGATCTGTGAGGTCTGTGAGGTCTGTGAGGTCTGTGAGGTCTGTGAGGTCTCTGAGGTCTGTGAGGTCTCTGAGGTCTCTGAGATCTGTGAGGTCTGTGAGGTCTCTGAGGTCTCTGAGGTCTGTGAGGTCTCTGAGGTCTCTGAGGTCTGTGAGGTCTCTGAGGTCTGTGAGGTCTCTGAGGTCTCTGAGATCTGTGAGGTCTGTGAGGTCTCTGAGGTCTGTGAGGTCTCTGAGGTCTCTGAGATCTGTGAGGTCTCTGAGGTCTCTGAGATCTGTGAGGTCTGTGAGGTCTCTGAGGTCTGTGAGGTCTGTGAGGTCTCTGAGGTCTCTGAGATCTGTGAGGTCTGTGAGGTCTCTGAGGTCTCTGAGGTCTGTGAGGTCTCTGAGGTCTCTGAGGTCTCTGAGGTCTCTGAGGTCTGTGAGGTCTCTGAGGTCTGTGAGGTCTCTGAGGTCTCTGAGGTCTCTGAGGTCTCTGAGGTCTGTGAGGTCTCTGAGGTCTGTGAGGTCTCTGAGGTCTCTGAGATCTGTGAGGTCTCTGAGGTCTCTGAGATCTGTGAGGTCTGTGAGGTCTCTGAGGTCTGTGAGGTCTGTGAGGTCTCTGAGGTCTGTGAGGTCTCTGAGGTCTCTGAGGTCTCTGAGGTCTCTGAGGTCTCTGAGGTCTCTGAGATCTGTGAGGTCTGTGAGGTCTCTGAGGTCTGTGAGGTCTGTGAGGTCTCTGAGAGATCTGTGAGGTCTGTGAGGTCTCTGAGGTCTCTGAGGTCTCTGAGGTCTGTGAGGTCTCTGAGGTCTGTGAGGTCTCTGAGGTCTCTGAGGTCTCTGAGGTCTCTGAGGTCTGTGAGGTCTCTGAGGTCTGTGAGGTCTCTGAGGTCTCTGAGATCTGTGAGGTCTCTGAGGTCTCTGAGATCTGTGAGGTCTGTGAGGTCTCTGAGGTCTGTGAGGTCTGTGAGGTCTCTGAGGTCTGTGAGGTCTCTGAGGTCTCTGAGGTCTCTGAGATCTGTGAGGTCTGTGAGGTCTCTGAGGTCTCTGAGGTCTGTGAGGTCTCTGAGGTCTCTGAGGTCTCTGAGGTCTCTGAGGTCTCTGAGGTCTCTGAGGTCTCTGAGGTCTGTGAGGTCTCTGAGGTCTGTGAGGTCTCTGAGGTCTCTGAGGTCTGTGAGGTCTCTGAGGTCTGTGAGGTCTGTGAGGTCTCTGAGGTCTCTGAGGTCTGTGAGGTCTGTGAGGTCTCTGAGGTCTCTGAGGTCTCTGAGGTCTCTGAGGTCTGTGAGGTCTGTGAGGTCTGTGAGGTCTGTGAGGTCTCTGAGGTCTGTGAGGTCTGTGAGGTCTCTGAGGTCTGTGAGGTCTGTGAGGTCTCTGAGGTCTCTGAGGTCTGTGAGGTCTCTGAGGTCTGTGAGGTCTCTGAGGTCTCTGAGGTCTGTGAGGTCTGTGAGGTCTCTGAGGTCTGTGAGGTCTCTGAGGTCTGTGAGGTCTCTGAGGTCTCTGAGGTCTGTGAGGTCTCTGAGGTCTGTGAGGTCTCTGAGGTCTCTGAGGTCTCTGAGGTCTGTGAGGTCTCTGAGGTCTGTGAGGTCTCTGAGGTCTCTGAGGTCTCTGAGGTCTCTGAGGTCTCTGAGGTCTCTGAGGTCTGTGAGGTCTCTGAGGTCTGTGAGGTCTCTGAGGTCTCTGAGGTCTCTGAGGTCTCTGAGGTCTCTGAGGTCTCTGAGGTCTCTGAGGTCTGTGAGGTCTCTGAGGTCTGTGAGGTCTCTGAGGTCTGTGAGGTCTGTGAGGTCTCTGAGGTCTGTGAGGTCTCTGAGGTCTCTGAGGTCTCTGAGATCTGTGAGGTCTCTGAGGTCTGTGAGGTCTCTGAGGTCTGTGAGGTCTGTGAGGTCTCTGAGGTCTCTGAGGTCTGTGAGGTCTGTGAGGTCTCTGAGGTCTCTGAGGTCTGTGAGGTCTCTGAGATCTGTGAGGTCTGTGAGGTCTCTGAGATCTGTGAGGTCTGTGAGGTCTGTGAGGTCTCTGAGGTCTGTGAGGTCTCTGAGGTCTCTGAGGTCTGTGAGGTCTCTGAGGTCTCTGAGATCTGTGAGGTCTGTGAGGTCTCTGAGGTCTCTGAGGTCTGTGAGGTCTCTGAGGTCTGTGAGGTCTCTGAGGTCTGTGAGGTCTCTGAGGTCTCTGAGGTCTCTGAGGTCTCTGAGGTCTGTGAGGTCTCTGAGGTCTCTGAGGTCTGTGAGGTCTCTGAGGTCTGTGAGGTCTGTGAGGTCTCTGAGGTCTCTGAGGTCTCTGAGGTCTCTGAGGTCTGTGAGGTCTCTGAGGTCTCTGAGGTCTGTGAGGTCTGTGAGGTCTCTGAGGTCTCTGAGGTCTGTGAGGTCTCTGAGGTCTCTGAGGTCTGTGAGGTCTCTGAGGTCTCTGAGGTCTCTGAGGTCTGTGAGGTCTCTGAGGTCTCTGAGGTCTCTGAGGTCTCTGAGGTCTCTGAGGTCTCTGAGGTCTCTGAGGTCTCTGAGGTCTCTGAGGTCTTGGACTCTCAGGATCTTCCAGCAGTCTTTATGACGGTCAGTGCTTCTGTGTTTACATTCAGCAGTGTACAGTTTGTATCTGTAAAACACACTGGAAGAGTGTGTAGAAAGGCTAACAGCTAACCGCTAACAGCTAACTGCTAACAGCTAACTGCTAACAGCTAACAGCTAACTGCTAAAAACAACTAACTGCTAAAAACAGCTAACATTAGCTAGTAAACACGTGTTCCTGTGGTAGCGTGTACTTGGTTGGCCTGAACCATGATTCTCTGATCTGTGTTGGCAAATTGACAACTTTATAAAGTCGTTGTTATTGTTTTGACTCTAAAGACTGCAGAAAGTGAAGAAACAGCTGCTCACATTTGGTAACATGTCTCAATCTGAGCACATTCTCTGTGCTCTCTCTCTCTGTGCTCTCTCTCTGTGCTCTCTCTCTGTGCTCTCTCTCTGCTCTCTCTCTGTGGTCTCTCGCTCTCTCTGCTCTCTCTCTGTGGTCTCTCGCTCTCTGTGCTCTCTCTCTGTGCTCTCTCTCTGTGCTCTCGCTCTCTGTGCTCTCTCTCTGTGCTCTCTCTCTGTGCTCTCGCTCTCTGTGCTCTCTCTCTGTGCTCTCTCTCTGTGCTCTCTCTCTGTGCTCTCGCTCTCTGTGCTCTCTCTCTGTGCTCTCTCTCTGTGCTCTCTCTCTGTGCTCTCTCTCTGTGCTCTCGCTCTCTGTGCTCTCTCTCTGTGCTCTCTCTCTGTGCTCTCGCTCTCTGTGCTCTCTCTCTGTGCTCTCTCTCTGTGCTCTCTCTCTGTGCTCTCTCTCTCTGTGCTCTCTCTCTGTGCTCTCTCTCTGTGCTCTCGCTCTCTGTGCTCTCTCTCTGTGCTCTCTCTCTGTGCTCTCTCTCTGTGCTCTCTCTCTGTGCTCTCTCTCTGTGCTCTCTCTCTGTGCTCTCTCCCTCAGTGCTCTCGCTCTCTGTGCTCTCTCTCTGTGCTCTCTCTCTGTGCTCTCTCCCTCAGTGCTCTAGCTTGGATCTCTCTGTGCTCTCTCTCTGTGCTCTCCCTCAGTGCTCTCGCTCTCTGTGCTCTCTCTCTGTGCTCTCTCTCTGTGCTCTCCCTCAGTGCTCTCGCTCTCTGTGCTCTCTCTCTGTGCTCTCTCTCTGTGCTCTCTCCCTCAGTGCTCTAGCTTGGATCTCTCTGTGCTCTCTCTCTGTGGTCTCTCTCTCTCTCTCTGTGCTCTCTCGCTCTGTGCTCTCTCTCTGTGCTCTCTCCCTCAGTGCTCTAGCTTGGATCTCTCTGTGCTCTCTCTCTGTGCTCTCTCCCTCAGTGCTCTAGCTTGGATCTCTCTGTGCTCTCTCTCTGTGGTCTCTCTCTCTCTCTCTGTGCTCTCTCTCTCTGTGCTCCCTCTGTCTCTGTTCTCTCTCTCTCTGTGGTCTCTCTCTCTCTGTGCTCTCTCTCTGTGCTCTCTCTCTCTGTGCTCTCTCTCTGTGCTCTCTCTCTCTGCTCCCTCTCTCTCTGTTCTCTCTCTCTGTGCTCTCTCTCTGTTCTCTCTCTCTCTCTGTGCTCTCTCTCTCTGTGCTCTCTCTCTCTGTGCTCTCTCTCTCTCTATGCTCTCTCTCTGTGCTCTCTCTCTCTGTGCTCTCTCTCTCTGTGCTCTCTCTCTCTCTCTGCTCTCTCTCTCTCTATGCTCTCTCTGTGCTCTCTCTCTCTGTGCTCTCTCTCTCTATGCTCTCTCTCTGTGCTCTCTCTCTCTGTGCTCTCTCTCTCTGTGCTCTCTCTCTCTCTCTGCTCTCTCTCTCTCTATGCTCTCTCTCTGTGCTCTCTCTCTCTGTGCTCTCTCTCTCTGTGCTCTCTCTCTCTGTGCTCTCTCTCTCTCTCTGCTCCCTCTCTCTCTGTGCTCTCTCTCTCTGTGGTCTCTCTCTCTGTGTGCTCTCTCTCTCTCTGTGGTCTCTCTCTCAGTGTGCAGACAGATCTCACACAAATGGACATTGTTGTGGTCAGAATCTGGAGCGTCTCGTGGTTCCGTGGGCGTGTGTTAGCTTTCTTGTGTGTTAGCATTCATGTTCGTTAGCTTTCTTGTGTGTTAGCATTCTTGTGTGCTAGCATTCATGTTTGTTAGCTTTCTTGTGTGTTAGCATTCTCCTGTGCTAGTTGCTAGTTGCTCTGATGCTACCAACCAGGTGAGATCTGTTTTGCATTAGCTGAAGATCGCCATGACGACAGTGATCAGACTCAAAGTCATTATAGATTCACTAATTGAACATCACAGGGTTTTACTGCTGCTCTTAAAGAACACATGAAATGTTGTTTTATATTTTATACATTTATATCATTGACCTGTGGATCTAGTTACTGATTGGCTGAGAGCTGATTGGCTGAGAGCTGATTGGCTGAGAGCTGATTGGCTGAGAGAGAGTGGAATTTCACTTTTTCTACTCTACTCTACCCTACCCTACCCTACCCTACCCTACTCTACTCTACTCTACTCTACCCTACTCTACTCTACCCTACCCTACTCTACCCTACCCTACTCTACTCTACTCTACCCTACCCTACCCTACCCTACCCTACGCTACCCTACCCTACTCTACCCTACCCTACCCTACCCTACTCTACGCTACCCTACCCTACCCTACTCTACTCTACCCTACCCTACCCTACCCTACCTTACCCTACTCTACTCTACCCTACTCTACTCTACCCTACCCTACCCTACTCTACTCTACCCTACTCTACTCTACCCTACCCTACCCTACCCTACTCTACTCTACCCTACCCTACCCTACCCTACCCTACCCTACTCTACCCTACCCTACTCTACTCTACTCTACCCTACCCTACCCTACCCTACCCTACCCTACCCTACCCTACTCTACCCTACCCTGCCCTACCCTACTCTACCCTACCCTACCCTACCCTACTCTACTCTACCCTACCCTACCCTACCCTACCTTACCCTACTCTACTCTACCCTACTCTACTCTACCCTACCCTACCCTACCCTACTCTACTCTACCCTACCCTACCCTACCCTACCCTACTCTACCCTACCCTACTCTACTCTACCCTACCCTACCCTACCCTACCTTACCCTACTCTACTCTACCCTACTCTACTCTACCCTACCCTACCCTACCCTACTCTACTCTACCCTACCCTACCCTACCCTACCCTACCCTACCCTACCCTACCCTACCCTACCCTACTCTACCCTACCCTACTCTACTCTACTCTACCCTACCCTACCCTACCCTACCCTACTCTACCCTACCCTACTCTACTCTACCCTACCCTACTCTACCCTACCCTACTCTACTCTACCCTACCCTACCCTACCCTACCCTACCCTACCTACTCTACCCTACTCTACCCTACCCTACTCTACCCTACCCTACCCTACCCTACCCTACTCTACCCTACTCTACCCTACCCTACCCTACTCTACCCTACCCTACCCTACCCTACTCTACTCTACTCTACTCTCCCCTGATTGGGAGCGTTTCCTGGTCCTGTGTAACCAGTACCAGGTCCTTCTTTAGTCCCTCTTGGTCCTGGTTCTGTCCAGGCCGAGCTGGTTCTAAAGGGTTCTAACTGACAGTGATTGGCCAGAGAAGCTGCTGGATTTCCACAGACACTGGTTTGTTGTAGGTAGGTTTCTTTGGGTCCGGCACTAGAGTCTACAGTGAATGGAAACAGAACCAGGTGGGGTAGAGTCTAGGGCTGGTGGAAACGGGGCGTTAGATGGTTTTTGTTACTTTGCTACATATTTTGTGGTTTAAAAGTTATAGATACTTCTTCTTCCATTATTAGTGCTCTCTCTGGTCCCGATCGTATCACGAGAGTCTGTCTGTGTCCAGTCGGTTCAAACCTCATTTTGTCGTTATTTAAATCCACATTTCACTGGTCCATTTCTCTTGTCAGTGTCTCAAACTGAGCCTGGTTCTGGTTCTCTCGCTGCACACATGGTCCACATTACATCAACAAAACTCAGACAAATAGAGACACATCGCCGTCTGTAACCGTATCTCTCCCCCGCCACTCCAGAAGAATGGACTTTCCCGTAAACGTTTGTAAATTACCGACAAATATGGCGGACGGTGAAGAATCCGAACTGTGACGAAGGCTGTAGACCCAGGACTGAGGCTGTAGACCAAGGACTGAGGCTGTAGACCCAGGACTGAGGCTGTAGACCCAGGACTGAGGCTGTAGACCCAGGACCGAGGCTGTAGACCCAGGACTGAGGCTGTAGACCCAGGACTGAGGCTGTAGACCCAGGACTGAGGCTGTAGACCCAGGACTGAGGCTGTAGACCAAGGACTGAGGCTGTAGACCCAGGACTGAGGCTGTAGACCCAGGACTGAGGCTGTAGACCCAGGACCGAGGCTGTAGACCCAGGACTGAGGCTGTAGACCCAGGACTGAGGCTGTAGACCCAGGACTGAGGCTGTAGACCCAGGACTGAGGCTGTAGACCCAGGACCGAGGCTGTAGACCCAGGACTGAGGCTGTAGACCCAGGACTGAGGCTGTAGACCCAGGACTGAGGCTGTAGACCCAGGACTGAGGCTGTAGACCAAGGACTGAGGCTGTAGACCCAGGACTGAGGCTGTAGACCCAGGACTGAGGCTGTAGACCCAGGACCGAGGCTGTAGACCCAGGACTGAGGCTGTAGACCCAGGACTGAGGCTGTAGACCCAGGACTGAGGCTGTAGACCCAGGACTGAGGCTGTAGACCCAGGACTGAGGCTGTAGACCCAGGACTGAGGCTGTAGACCCAGGACTGAGACTGTAGACCCAGGACTGAGGCTGTAGACCCAGGACTGAGGCTGCAGACCCAGGACTGAGGCTGTAGACCCAGGACTGAGGCTGTAGACCCAGGACTGAGGCTGTAGACCCAGGACTGAGGCTGTAGACCCAGGACTGAGGCTGTAGACCCAGGACTGAGGCTGTAGACCCAGGACTGAGGCTGCAGACCCAGGACTGAGGCTGTAGACCAAGGACTGAGGCTGTAGACCCAGGACTGAGGCTGTAGACCCATGACTGAGGCTGTAGACCCAGGACTGAGGCTGTAGACCAAGGACTGAGGCTGTAGACCCAGGACTGAGGCTGCAGACCCAGGACTGAGGCTGTAGACCAAGGACTGAGGCTGTAGACCAAGGACTGAGGCTGTAGACCCAGGACTGAGGCTGTAGACCAAGGACTGAGGCTGTAGACCCAGGACTGAGGCTGTAGACCCAGGACTGAGGCTGTAGACCAAGGACTGAGGCTGTAGACCCAGGACTGAGGCTGTAGACCCAGGACTGAGGCTGTAGACCAAGGACTGAGGCTGTAGACCCAGGACTGAGACTGTAGACCCAGGACTGAGGCTGTAGACCCAGGACTGTCAGGTGTTTGTCTCCGTTGTGTTGTTTGCTAACCCAGAGGAATGTGTGCCGTGGCGTATTAGCGCGTTAGCTAAAGCTAGCCTCATGATTCGGTGACACCGGGACATTGTGACCGGTCTTATCTGCTGCT